CGCACTGCTATAGTGCGCCGCTTGGGAAGCGCGGCGGCGCTCCCGCCTGAGGGTTCAGATCCCACATACAGACCGGTTCCTGCTCACTGGCTGAGCGAGGCGCGGGAGCAACACTGAGGGCTGTGATCCCGTTGCCGGTCCCGGTCCAGTACGGGGGCGACACTGAGGGTTGCGATCCATTGCCGGACACGGAAAAAGACAAAAAAAAAAAAAAAAAAATTGAACGTTTACTTACCATGTGACCTAGCTACTCCAAACCTAGATATTTATCCAAGAGATATGAAAACATATGCCCATATAATGACTTATACACCAGTGTTCATAGTAACTTTATTTGTAATAACCCCAAACCAGAAACAGCCCAAATGCCATGCTATGGAAAGATACTAATCAATAAAAGGGAATGGACTATTCATACATGCAAGAATGTGGATGAATCTCAAAAAATCATTATGCTAAGTAAAAGAAGTTGGGAAGAAGAAAGTAGATACTGTAAGATTACACCTATATAAAATTCTGAAAAATGCAAACTAACCTATAGAGAGAAAGCAAATTGGTAGTTAATGGGCTGGGGTTGGGGGTGGTGTGCAGGGAAGGGAATGTGGGAGGGATTATAAAGCAACATGAAGTAACTTTTGGGGGTGATAGTTAAGTTCATTATGTTGATTGTGGTGACAGTTCCACGGGTGTTTTTGTATATCAAAACTTGTATACTTTAAACATGTACAGTTTATTGTATGCCAATTATACCTCAGTAAAGTTGTTAAAAGCAACTCCTGTGTTATTGTTGCTAGTTGTGGGCAGTTGGAACAGGGGAAAGTGTGTGGAAAGTGAGAAAGTACAAATATTTAGTGCTCCTTAAACATAGGAAAGAACGTCTTAATAAATTTCTTCTAATCTGACTGATTTTGTTGTATTTTGACTGAGAATAGAATGAAGTATAGCTTTAATTTTGGGGGTCCATTTGATTGTTACATTACTTAAGCTCTTTGCTTATTATCCTTGTATTTCTCTTAGCCAATAAACCCCTCTCCCTTGAAGTGTTTGTTGGGGGAAATAAAAGGAACTAAAATCCAAAGAAATCTATGTTCCCTCTACTTAACAGCTGTTTGATAAAACCTCAGTAGGGAACAAATGAAAACTATTAGCTGAAATTAGATATCGGTATTAGCTATAGATTTTAATTTTTCTTTCTATCCCAATCATTCAGTAGCACATGATTTATTTCTTAAATGACTTGATTAATTCTGATATGAAGAGATTAATATCAAATTGGAGCTTATTATCCAGTCAGGTGAAATTGTCATTTGAAGTCAAAAGTTACCTCAAACACTGTCAAATATAATGAAAATAAAGCATGTTCTAAAAGAAAATGTACCTCGTCATGGGAAAAAAATGGTTGCAATGTGTAAACTTGATTCCATACCTACCTCTCTGGCTCGATGGAGCTGTGCTTGCTCAATCTTAGAGATGATGTCCTTTACTGAGAATGGGATCTCAAGTTTAGGGACCAGGGGAATATCAAAGACTGTTCCGGGGTATCTTCTCATGATGGTGGAATCCTTGACTTCTTTTTCTGATTCAGAGTCATTGTCTATTTCTCTTTGCATTTTGATAAATATTTTGAAAATTGGGGTGACTTTATTTCTTCTTTTTCACAGAATACAGGCAAATTCTAATAAAGGTGTCCCCTAGGAAGCTAGAAGTCTATCCTGCTACCAGAAGTTGTGGCTTACCCTGCTACTAATTGGTTGGTAATGGTGGTATTCCAATCCTGGTGATATCATAATAGATCCATTATGACATTATCATTGACTCAAACATTTAAAAGAGAACAAGGCATTCTATATGCTGTGACAGTAGAAGGGTGAAGGGGGAGGATGGGTAGCAAAGAATAGACAACACAAACGCCAAAAGAAATAGAAGATATAGCCCTGCTTACATGAACTTAAAATCTAAGTGTTAGAATTCAAGATCCAGTAGGTCAAATGTAACTCCTGGTTCTTCTATCTTCCTAGGGTTCTGCTTAAGTATTTTTAAGCCTGTAATGGAATAAGTGTGTTACGACTTCCTCAGCTGCCCATTAACTTTTCCTAGAAATGTAGTAACTAGGAAGATATTATTTGGATGAAGATCATGCTCTTTGCACTGCCTAGTTACTTGTTTTTTTAAAGAAACCTGACTGAAGAAGGCTTTGAAGTTCCATAGTTGGCTCAAGAAATTGAAGGGAATGCGAAAGGCTGCTTTCTAACTGAAAAGAGGAGTGCTTTGAACAGCTCCTTTGGTTGCAGAGGAGGCGAAAGAATTAAGGAGACTGCAGTAACTAAAGGACAGGTTTTGTTGGCTGTGTAACTTTATTTTTAATTTAAAAAATATAAAAGTACAGAAAATAATATAACAAATGGCCATGTGCTCGTCACCTAGGATGAACAAATATTAACATTTTGTCATATTTGCTTCAGATAGTTTTAAATAAAAGAAGGCATTAGAGATAAAGTTGAAATTCCCTTTGTTGTCTTCCCTGGATTCCTTCCTTCCCCTCTGTCCCATTCCAGAAGCAATGACAATCATGAATTTGACGTATTTGTGTCCAGTCTATATAGTTTTAGTACAGGTGTATGTATTCATAAACTATATAGCATCATATTATAGCTTTTAAATTTTACACAAATTGTGAATGTATAATTTTTGTACAGGAACTTCCTATGTTGAGTCCTTGTTGTAAACTTATTGTAAAATTAGTACTATGTTGTGTCCGTGTTGTAAACTTGTAAAATTTAACAATTTATGTGTTTCAGTCCTGCAAAGAAAGGGCGGCATGAGATCATAAAGTAGTTGTCCTTTAAAAATATCAATCAATATAGAGAGAGCAAATTAAATATTTTCCCTTCTCTTTAAGATCTCATTGTCTAAATTATTCCCTTCTATATGTTTCCAAATCACTTTGTAAACTTTATTTTATGGTACTTATCTCATTGAAGTGTAACTGTTTGTTATTTATCTCTGTCCACTAGTAGATGAACTTCTCAAGATCGTATGCTGTACTTTTTGTTTTTTCTCATATTTGGCATGCTCTTCATATGTTCTTCCACAGAAACTGTGTAAAATTTGGGAGTTTATTACAGTTGCAGATTCCTCTCTTTATACAAACTTTTCTAAGCCCCCAAATGCTTTTTGATTGTTAGACCAACCCCTGCCCCCATCCCTGCAGTCATAAAACATTACTCTCTCCTTTCCTAGAAATCACAAGTCTATTTATTACTCAAGGAAGTTCATGTTTTCTGAAAGGACCATAATTAAGAATTACTTATTTTTATAAACGTGAGGTCTAATTAAAATATTCATCATTATCCAGCTTTTCTTGACACCACAAGTTAACCCATTTAAGTATTCTGTTGATTGTGAGATCTTTAAATAACTTTTATTTATCTTGCACTGCTTACCCCAACAGCCTAAAATCTTATTAGCTAAGCTAATTCAGCATTATTGCACTCTCTCGTTCTCTTGCTTGTATTTTTCATGCAGCATGGAATTCATCAGCAACTAGAAATGAAGGCTTTTTAAAGCAAAATTTTAAATTCTCCTTCCCTTTCAATTTGACAAGCATTTGCTGAGACACTACTATGCAGCTACCATTATTCTAAACTGAGAAGAATATATGACAGGGTTCCTGTGAAGAAACTAAAAAACGATAAAAAGAAAAGTAATTTAATATAGAATATAATAATCAAGTGCTAACAAGGGACATGAAGAAGAGATCGTTGGGGAGCACAGTCTTTGGGAAAACCTTGTGGAGAGAGAAAGTTGATTAACAAATGAAGGCATTCCAGATAGGGAAGACACCTTGATCCATGGCTTTAGAGGTGAGTGTTAATGAGTTTGTATCTTAGAGGAAAAGTGAGGAGATGGTTTAATCATTGAGATGAAGTAATGGGTTTACTGGAGATCAGATTAGGGAGGGTAAAAGAAGAAAAGAAAAAAAAAAACAGATTAGAGAGGGTGTGGGATACAAATATCAGCAATTTCATGGTGTTATAAATTTGGTACCTAAGTGAGAAAGTGAGGAGATAAGTTTGAGATAAAGCAAAGGAGATGGGGTAAGAATGGGAAGGTTTTGAAAGCAAGTAACAGCGGTTTGGTGATAATAAAACCTTCACTTTAGGAAGATTTTTTAAATAATAGAATTGAAAAAATCCATTAAAGAGATCAAGACACGACTTCAAAATATGAGTGTCTGAACTAGGATATAAAAGTGGGACTGGTAAGGGAGAGATAAATCTTACTACTTATGGCTGAAGATAATAAGGAATTTGAATCATCTAACAAAATTAGACAATTTTAAAAATTAATTTTGTTTTTATTATGCTTCATTTTAATTAATGGCAGAACATCAATGAAGAGGCTATCCAAACTGTTATTACTAGCATTATATTAACTGGAGTTGTGGGGACCTTATTCAAACTAGCATGAGGGCAAAGTTTTTTTTAAAGGTGTGTCTAGAAAACCTGCCCTCCTAGAGGACTTCTTCAGCTGTAAAATGGGGATGACAATAGTATTTATTGCATAGGATTGTTTTAAGATTAATTCACATAAACTTCTCAGTATAGTGCCAAGCACATAGTAATATACAGTAGCTGCTACTTTTACTACTACAGCTTTTTTTTTTTCTCTTCTCTACTTTTTTTCTACGAGCCACCACGTTTTCGGCAGGGTCGAGCGTTTGTTTAGTATACTTCGGACAAGATCGGCTTTTTATCAGATCTAGATTTTGAACTATGAAAACCGCGGAATTATTAGGGCTGTGGTTGCTATCTGCTTGGCAAGTGATAAAAAAGCGTAAGAATTTTACACACCCCTGTAGCACAAAATGGTGCTTCCTTCTGATCGTCTCCCCCCGCGCCCCGGACACATGATAGTACATTCCCTACTGCTGCTGGAAAGGGTAGTACAAAAGTTGAACGCGCCGAGGGTTTTCTCTTCTCCCGGAAGCAATTTTCTCTAGAGCCGGAAGCAGGTGCTGTTTCAAGGGAGGAGGGACTGGGCGGGTCAGGCCACGGCGGCTGACGGCGGGGGAGGAGCTGGGTCCACTGCCGGTTGGAGGGGCAAGTCGAGTGTCCTTATCCTAGCGATTGGGACTCGGGCCTGTGAGCCAGTTGGAGTTGCAGCGGCGGGAACGATTGGGCCGAGCGGAGGAAGACATGTTGCTCTTCGTGGAGGTGAGTGGATTTGGTAAATTGGCCCCGCTCTGAGGAGAGCAGGAGTGTGGAGGCGCCGGCCGGTCCCACCGCCATGTGACTTTCCAGGCCGTACACGCCGCAGAACCGGCAGATAGGCTGACACAGCACCTGGGCCGTGGAGGCCTGCAGCTCCACTCTGCGCATTCACAACACTTTAGGAAGCTGTAGGAGGTGAGGCCCGTGGTGAGGGAGAATTGGAGGGGGAGAATCCGGGGCTTGGCTGGTGTTGCCTGAGGATCAGAGGAAGGGGAAAATGTCCCATATGGACCCCCTAAAGGAGGCAGACGGGCGGGGTTGGGGGGGCAGGGGGCGGAGTCTGCCCGAGAAAAGAGTAATCAGGTGGGCGCGTTCTGGGGGGTGAAGCGAGGCCTCGCGGGGACCTCTGGGAGGGAGGCGAGCAACATGTGGGGCCGCGGAGGGAGGGAGGTGAAATGCGGTAGAAGTGTTTTGAAAAGAAAATTGAAAGCTGCTTTTTAGCAACTCCCACCACATTTTGTTCGACCCTCGTCCCTAGGTCTCTGGAACGTTCTGTGGGTGAAAGCGAGTTTCTGTGAACAGAGGAGAAGCCAATAGGGATTGGAAGCCTTGAAAGGCACCGCTTTGACCTTCTGTAAAAGTTGTTTTGGCAGCGGCTGCGTGATGAGGGGTTGGTTCTGTGAACCGGTTAAAAGCCCTTTACAAGGAAAATTCCATGAATGAGAGAAACTTAGTTGGAGAAAAGCCTTATTTTGATTTTTTGTTTGTTTTTTAATTGTTATTTGACCAATAGAAATACTTTGATTATTTTAAGTGGAACGTCAGCTGTTGGCCTATTTTAGTTTTCACGGCAGTGGATACCTGCCTTGCACAAATACGAAGTTTAATTTCTCATTTCTGTTCTTCTCTTGTGTGCAGTGAGCATCAGCTGACTGCCTGGCTAATGCTTTGAGTAGATTCCAGATCATATTGTTCTTACATTGTGAAAACGTCAAACCAGCAAAGCTTCAACTTCGCAACTTGGCATTTGTTGACTATGCCCATAAAAAGAATCTTTTCAGTGAGGGAAGGAATTTACGTTGTATATTGGATGCGGGAGCCAATGACGTTTTTTTTTTTTTTTTTCGGGGGAAAGGGGAGATTTTACTCCGTAATATTCCGGCGTAAAGTAAATAAATGATTTTACTTCCCCCCACCTCTTAAACCAACTGACATGGTGTGGCTGATAAATTTGAGATCTTTAAATTATATTTTAAAAAGAAACTGCTTCCTTAGAGTATGTCCAACATTAATAAGTATTAATTGGAACATTCCAAGCCAACCATGAAAAGGTTTTTTTTTTAACTTTTTTTCAGTTTTAATTTTTTTATTCAAACATATTTTAACATTTATTTGTACATATTCGTGGGGTACAGTATGTTGTTTCAGTACATACATCTACTGCACAATGATTCACTTAGGGTAGAGAGCATAATTTTGTGCCCATGTAGTCCACTTTTTCTCCTTCCCCCCATGAAAAGATTTGAAATTACGGAACTCATTCTGTGTACTGTTTTGTATCCTCATTGTTTTTCTTCGGCAGAATGAGAAATCAGATATGATTTTAAGCAGTGCTAGTTTGTTTTAGGAATGTTATGCTATGCAAATACGGCAGGTTTTAAGTGTAGAAGTGTTTTGCCAGACAAAAGAGATTGTGAAGTTTGTCTTATATCAACATGAATTCCAAAATAAACTTTTGAGTTAAGATTGATTCTTTTGGCTTTATTAAAATGTGAGCTTTAATAATAGCTCCATTTATTGAGTTTTTAAGGCTAGGCCTTCTATCTTTAAAGCAACGTTGCAGCGTTTTACAGATAAGAAAACTGAGGCCAAGTGGTTGAGTAACTTAAACCAACTGATATTGTATACTAGTAAAGCAGTGGAACTGGGATTTAGATCCGGGTCATTCTGATGTCAAATCATGGAAAGGCTTTAAGCAATTCAGACCTATTTGACTCCCCAGTTTAGACAAACTCTACTGTATCTCTCACTAAACTACCCTTTAAAGTTAATATCGCCATTAATCATTTTCTTTGTGAATTGGTATGTCATTCCTTATTTTTCTCATGAGTTTTATTGGAAATTAACAATGTCATTAAATATTTGGGGCTGAATTTATGGTATTAAAGTCAGTCAAATCCAACACATTGGTCATTTGGCATTTTATTAACTAATATTTGATCCTTATAAATTCATGAGATAGCAATTATTTTCAGTGAGCAAACCAAAGCTCAAGTTAGATTTCTAAGGTCATTCAAGTGTAAATAATATGGGGACTAAAGTCTGAAGTCTGGCTTCTAGAACACAAGTCTCTGGCTCCAAAATTTATTTTTGCACTTTCACCTAAGCCAACAGTTCTTAATCTGGGTTCCTGGATAGAATTGAGGAAGTACATGAGTTTGGTTGAGGAAAGAAATTGCCTGTTTGTTTTCACTAGCTTCTAACTGAAATCTAGATAGAAAAGAATTAAAAATTCTTTAAATTTCAATGGAGGCAGCAGTGTCTATGACTTTGTCACCAAGAGAAATTACATTTCTTTCATATTACAGTTTTTTTTTTTTTTTTTGTCTTTTTGTCTTTTTCCGTGTCCGGCAACGGATCGCAACCCTCAGTGTTGCCCCCGGACCGGACCGGGGACCGGCAACGGGATCGCAACCCTCGGTGTTGCTCCCGCGCCTCACTCAGCCAGTGAGCGGGAACCGGTCTGTATGTGGGATCCGAACCCTCGGGCGGGAGCGCCGCTGCGCTTCCCAAGCGGCGCACTATCCAGTACGCCACTGGGCCGGCCCCATATTACAGTTTTTTCAGATATCTTGAAATATTCTTTACGCTCATTACTCCTTGTTATATGTTAAACATCTTTTTATCTAATGTATTAATAAAGCACATTTATTACTATTTTAGAAAATTTTAAATATTGATATTTAAATATAATTTGTTTACTTTGTGATCCTATGTATTTCATATATTTAAAGGCATTCTGAGAAATCCATAGATTAATTGGATTACTAAAGAGGTCGGTTGCACAAAAGAGGTTAAGAACCGCTTTACTAAACCAAGTTGCTTGTGGATCATCTTTGGCAGGGTTAATCTGCGATCCGTGAGTACTCTGTAGTTGTCTTCAAAATCTTTTACTTATGTGCATTTTTCTGGTGAGATCCAAGCCTAACTGGTTTATAACTGGAATTAGTGGAGTAATGATAACAATAATAGTATAGCAATGGTATGCGCCTGTATGGTGCTTACTGTGTGTGTCAGGCACATTAGGTGTTTTTGCATGTATACATATGTATACATCTGCTCAAGCCTCACAGTATATCCAGTGTATCTATGAGGTATTATTATCCCCATTTTAGAGATAAGGAAACTAAGGCAGAGAGAAACTTGCCTAAGATTATATAGCTAGTGAATGTTGAAGCTGGGTTTAGAACTCAAACCACTGAGTTATATTTGCAGTAGAAATCTATAGGGAGACAGTGAATCTTATTTTAAGTAATACTTAGATGTAGCTTTTTTTAACCTGGTCTTGCAAACAAAGGGCTATATTGACTTCAGTAGTTTATTGGGGTTTTTTGGTGACCTTTGTTCTGAAGGAGACACAGTATCTTTCTCTGGTAAGAGATAAAAAATATTTGGATAATTCAGAAAGTTGTCAAACATAACCTGACTTAAATTCCTTTAGAACAAATTCTGTAAGTTTGAAACAGCAATGTGCTCCCTTCATCCAAGTGCTATCAATTTATTTAAATTTTTGAGCACTGAGACGGATTGCGTTTTTTTCACTCTTAAATTTTTTTTTAAATTTTTAACTAAAACACATAATAATTGTACATATTTATAGGGTACAGTGATGTTTCACTACGTGTATTTTTCACATTTTTTGTGGTTCACATTTTGTTCATTTTTCAGACTGTTTTTCCCCTCTAATATTTTCAATGAGTTCTGCTTGCTCTAGTTGTTTGGCAGTGTTTTGTTTTGGGTTTTTTTTGGTGGCTGACTAGTATGGGGAACCGAACCCTTGACCTTGGTGTTACAAGGCTGCGCTCTAACCAACTGAGCTAACTGGCCAGCCCATTTGGCAGTGTTTTAATGACTGTGGAAATGGGGATTTTATGTCTTGAGTTTTTTGCTGAAAATGAATACTTACACCACTTATTTAGGTAGTAGTGATTTTTGTACACCCTCTGATGTTCTAATAATTCTTACGTAATTTAAAAAATTATTTCTAATTGTGGTGAAATACTCATAAAATTTATCATCTTAACTATTTTTATCATCTTTATTTTTAAGTATATTCACGTTATTGTGCAACCATTACCAGCATCCATCTTCAGAATTCTTTTCATCTTGAAAAACTGAAACTCTATCCATTAAACAGTAACTTCTTATTTCCCTCTCCCCCTAGATTTTACATAATTAAAGAAATTTTTGTCTGTTTTCTTTTCTGTTTTTAAGTTTTAGGTTAGTCTTAGGCTGAAATAAGATGTGGGACATTTGCCTAGATAATTTTTTATTAATTTTATGTTAATCATAGGTAGCGTTATGCATTTCACCCTAAGTACAGTACTAAGTTTTCTCCCATTAGTTTAATATTAGATACCACCTCTGACTGAGAATAAGTTTTTATTTTTATCAGTTTTTTTATGATGGACTGAAAATGAAGTAGGAAAAAGTGGAAAAGAATTCTGAGAAGTGAGCATAAAAATGTAAGGGTACCCCAGGGTGCTTCAGATTACAGTATGTAAAAAACCAGTAACTAGAAATATTGATATCCAACTATTTTGTGTTTTGATCAGCTTGGGTTTGTTTGGGCTGTCTGCCAGCTCCATATTACTTACCAGCTAATGGAAGTAATTCTTAGTACTAGACATGAATATTTCAAATCTGAGATTTTTGTTCTTCTACTTTGGAGCTTGAAACAAGATTTTGACCCTGTAGTTAGAAATGGAGTCTGAGTCTGTACT